AGCGTGTGTGTGTGTATGGTGGGAGATATTCTAGGACTTTCCCTTCAGACAATTTCACATAGGGTGATCTGGGTTGGGATTCTCTGTGTGCTTTGAATGGGGCAAAATGACAGACGCAGGAGAGTGGGATGAACGTGGGGAAGAGGGAACCGTGTGGAGTGGAGACACACCGCCATCTTACTGACTGGGACGCTCTGTGCCCGGAGGGAGAAGGGAGCTGGCTGTGACTGTCCACTGGTGGAGGGGTGGGTGTCTGGGTACAAGGAAGGAGGCTGGTAACGGACTTTCTTAACCCAGAAGTGTACAGGTTTTGAAGGCCGTTGCCAGTGGTGTTAATGTCATTCATTCATTTACTCACTCAAACAATTCTGGAGAGTATTCAACAGATAATTATTTAAAATCACCTCTGAGCAAGGCCCTGTGTCAGGTTCTAGAGAAGATTTGTCTGCTGTCGAAGGATGTGTCTCGGTGTCCTCAGTGCCCTCTGGCACCTGTGGCGTGCTGAGTGCTCCTGCTCAGCTTCACCATCTCCAGAGTTGACTCCTGCAAGCAGGCTCTGGGCTGGGTGGGGGCTGGTGCCAGCCTCTCCAGCCATGGGGGTAAACCTCTCATCCAGAGGTGTCTCACCAAGATCAGATTGGAAGTTGTGAGGGGCTGGGAGGAGGCATTGCGGGGCTGGGCCTGGTTTCCAAGGAAAAACACCACCACAGCTTTTTGGTGCTTTCTATCCCTCACTGCCTGACACCCAGCTTCTTGTCAGGGAAGATGAAACCAGCTGGTCCCACTCTCCGGGACTGAACTAGATTTGGATCTCATGAGAGATCGGAATAGTCTCAAAACAGAAGTCTAGGGGACTTCACACAGGAGGAACCAGGCCTCAGAGGATGCTGGTCCTGTGGCTGTGCTGCCGCTACTGCCAGGTCATGCGGTACAGAGGGTCTGGGGCCTTCTGGGCCATGTGGCTGGGGACAGACCGGGCCGGGTGGGGCTGACCACAGTCGGGTCACATTTCTAACTCATATTTCTTTGGAGCTGTGAGCTGTACAGATTTTATCTTGCCTGTTTTGACCCTCCATGGGACAACAGCTGGTGGGGAGTAGGGGAGGTGGAGGGGCCGAGAGAGCAGCAAGCTAGCTGGTTCTTCTTTTGGTCCATTTAGCAACTTCCTCTGACTTTTGAGCAAGGACAGGTATAACCCTTTGTGCCCTGAGGTGTGCAGTCTCCAACTTATGCCCATGGCCCCAAAGCCATCTAGAAGTTGACCCTGGCTTAGCACAATCATCAGCCACTGGGGAGGGGAAGGGGGATATTAAATAAGCAGCCTGGACTTGGTCTTCCCACTCCTCTGGACAGCCATTCAGCAAATAACTTCTGAGCACCTACTATGTGCCCTGCACTGTAGGGGGCATTCTGGCTCATGCTTCCTTCGTTGTTCTTGTTAGCTGCCATCGAGTCAGCCCCGGCCCATGGCAACCCCACGTACAACAGCACAAAGCATGCCTGGTCCTGCGCCATCTCCACGATCATTGGGATGAGTCCATTGCTGCAGCCAGTGTGTACTTTGAGTGTCTTCCATCCTAGGGGACTCATTTTCCAGCACTATATCTGACAATATTCTGTTGCGATCCATATGGGTTTCGCCAGGCCTTTCTTCCTAGTCTGCCTCAGTCTGGGAACCCCACTGAAACCTGTTCAATGTGGGTGACCCTGCTAGTATTTGAAATACCAGTGGCATAGCTTCCAGCATCACAGCAACACACAAGCCACCACAGTACCACAGACTGACAGATGTGTGGTGGGTCTCTTCATGCTCCATTCCTCTCCTTTTTAAATTTCAGCAACAAAGACATGGGGCTCCAGGAAGAAAACCATGGACTTGACCTCTGTCTATACACGAATAGAGCTGGTGGCAAATTCAAATGTACCTGCTACAAACAGTCCATTCCTCAAGTAATTCTGGGTGCTTTCCAAACTTACCAACCCCCTAAATGGTGTGGGAGGAGGCAGGGAAAGCTTTCCAGATAGAGGAACAGAGGTTAAGGACCTTTGGTGAAAGCAGGCCCCTTCAAAACTGAGGGAAGGCCCCATGGCCGGGCATGGCCAGGAAGGAAAGGTGGGTGTAGTGCAGTTTGGGGGGTTGGCTCTTGCTGGGCAACTGGGGCCCCTCTGTGAGCCCCATCACAGTCCCCCCACTTCATGCAGGACATTCCTTTCCATCCTCAGATCTTGGTGCAGGCATGGCCGCCTCTGGAAAGCCTTCCCTGAGCACCCCCAGTCAAAACAAGTTGCCATGGAATTGATTCTGACTCACGGAGACCCCATGTGTGTCAGAGTACAACTGTGCTCCACAGGGTTTTCAGGGGCTGATTTTCTGGAAACAGATCACCAGGCCTTTCTTCTGAGGTGCCTCTAGAACCCTCAACCTTTCTATTAACAGCTGACTGCTTAACCACTTGCACCACCCAGGGACACTGCATATAGTCAAACCCTCCGTTAAATACCCTCCTCCACCTCTCCTGCAGACCCTCAGAGGGAGCTGTGCCCTTCAAGAACTGGGGCTGGGGGCTTTTCAGCTCCCTCAGAGTCCTTGCAGCCTCTGATTGGGGTTGATCCTCCTTCCTCTTGACTGATGATCAGGCCTTAGCCTGGAACTGTCCCCAGAAGGGCACTGGCTGGGGGCTGCAGGCATGTGACCAGGGCCTGATCTGTGCGGGGAGGACCAGCCCTGCCCCCAGGAGCTCTCTTGTCTGGGGACTGTCAGACACAGGGCTGCAGGCAGCTGACAGGCATGTGATGGGAATAGGAACATGCCAGCCCAGAACGCGATATCCTGGGATCAGCCAGTCTCATGGCTCTGTGTCCCCTCAGCAGAGGGACACTTCAGCCACCCAACACTGTCCTTACCCAGAACTGTTCCCCCTCTGCACTAAGACTCTTCAGACGCCTACTCTCTGACTCAGCTTTCTCTCTGTCCAGGGTTTCATTCCACAACTCCTGCCACCCCCGTCCTCCGCCACCCCAGGGCCTCCACCACCCACTATCTCCAAGCCCGCCTCACCTCCTATTCCTGAGCCCGTTTTCCATATCATCAACCCACTCTTCCCTAAACCTTCCACCCCCAACCCCTTTGTCCTCCACTGCCCCCAATCTAACAAGGACACCCAAAGTCTGGGTCCGACCAACCCCATGCTGTCCTCATCTCCCCAAGGGGGATTGGAGCTACCACAAACCAAGGCCTCCTATCCCAGCTGAACCCCAAGCAGCCAGCATTTCTGCTCCCACTTACCTCAGAGTTGTTCCATGTCTCCCCACGTCCCCTACCTCAGACCCTCCCACCACATTTCCAGCAGACAACCCTGCCCCCCCTTCACTGAGAGGTCTCCACTCAGGTCTCCCTGCAGAGGCGAGTGGCGCTGGAAGCACCGCCACTGACAGGGGAGCCAGGATCTGCTTCCACCCACCATGGGACCGCTTCAGGGCCACCTCTGCCCTGGAGCCCCCAATGGGCCAGCCAGGCTTCCTCAGATCTGCCTACAGTCCGAGGCTCTTCCGGCCGATCTTCTTGCCTGTATCTCAGCCTGAAGGCTTTCCCTGCCAACTTCTGCCCCCTCTTCCCTTTATCTTTCATGGCATAGTTACCCCAATAAATCTTTTGCATTTCTTACTGCATTTTGGCATCTGCTTCTCTGAAAACCTGAACTGACAACTCGCTTCCTGCCTTGGCTTCCACTCTTGTGTTCTTCCTACACATCTCAGTGAAAGACAGCCATCTGCCTGCCCAAGGCTAAGCCCTCCAGCTGTGCTGTGGATGCTTATTTCTCTCTCCCATTACCCTGTCTCCTGACCCCTTTCTCCTTCCTTTTGCTGCTCTTCCTTTCTTCCACTGCCCTGCACTTTTCCTCGCCTGCCATTTAATTCTTCAACCTTTGTCGTACTTGACTGTGCTAAGCACCCCCTCCTTCTTGAACCAGTCTCCTCTCTTGTCTTCTGGAACCCACTTTGCCCGTCTTCCCCCTTCCTCTCTCACTGCTTCTTCTCAGTCTCCTCACCCACCGCTGGCTCTTTAAATGTTGGTGCTCCTTGGGGGATGTGTCTTAGCTCTTTTCTCAATCAACTCCCTCCCTCCACGGAGGAGATGATTCCCAAATGCTGATATGCTGACAACGCCCAAATTCCATCTCCAAAGTCCAAACAGAATTTTTTCCTGAGATCCAGATTTCAGTAAGCAGCTGGCCAGAGGACTCTTTCCCTTGGATGTATCACATCTACCTCAAACCCAATATGTGCTAAGATGAACTCATAATCACCCTGCGAAGCTGCTCTTCTGGGATCTCCACCCTAGAGAGTGCCACCACCATCCTCCAAGTCAGACAGACCAGAGGCCAGGGCCACCTCCTCAGTCCTTCCAGGTGGTCACCAGGTGCTACCAATCCTACACCCTAAACTCCCTTCTCATCTGTCTGTTCCTCCCCATCACCACTGCCACTGTCTTTGTTCATGCCTTCAGCATTTCTTAACTGCAGTTCACATTTCATCTCTTAACCCAGTTCTTGATTATCATCTTATTTCTCTCCATTACATTCCTCAAATTGACATTTCTTGAAAGTCTGTAAATCTGCACCACAAAGCCTTCCATTGTACCCCATTGCCTTCACCATCGTCAGCATCACCATTTATCTTGCTTTCTCCATGTGCTGATAAAAACACCTCTGGATCTGGCCCTGCCCTCCTCTACAGGCTCCTGTCTGGCCTTAGAGCACTGGCCAAACTGAATCACATGTAGTTCCCCAAATGTCCTGCACAATTGTGCCTCAGGGCCTTTGCACTGTCACCTTCTGCCTGGACCACTCTCCCCAACCCCCCACCTAGCTAACGCCTCCCCATGGGATCACCATCCCCAGGAGCCAGAGTAAGGTGCTCCTTCTCTGCCCTTCCCAGCACCCTCCACAGATCTCAGTCTACCAGAGGGCTTATTGTCTTGTTTATGTTTCCCCCATTAGACTCAGAAGTTCTGAGAGCCTGGCTCATTTTTGCATACCAGCATCTAGCACAGAATCTGGCACATGGTCAGCACTGAATAAATATTATCAATGAATGAAGACATGAATGAACAAATGAATGACTTCTACTGGGAAAAAGGGTGCTTGCTGGGAAGACAATATATGAGGTGAGTCCAAAAGAATGACTAAGAATTTATGAAGCCAGGGTCTAAATGGAGAAGAGAATTCAGGGACAGGGACTGGTAGGTGCAAGGTGTGGAGGTTTGGGAGAGTGGATGTGTTAAGGGAACGAACCACAGGCAGTTCTGTAGCTGGAGCAGAGGGTGACTGTGCAGGATGTGCCAGAGACGAATCTGGAGAGACAGGTTGAATGACAAGGGAGAGTGCCTGCTAGGAGCCTGACTTTGCCCAGTACAGAATGGGACAGGATGTAATGGGTGCTTTCGATGCCACGAGGAAGGTGGACAGGAGCGAGCAGTGCCCAGCAGAGGGGAGCCTAGGAAGGAAGCAATGAGTGGTCCAGGTGAGGGGTGATGTGTGATCCAGGGCAGGGCAGAGGACAGAGAGCAAGTGTTTAGATGGCAGTGACGGGTGCTTGAGGAGGTGCAAGGGATTCGGGAGAAGAGCAAGTGAGGATGATGCTGTGGTTTCTGGCTTGGGTTCCTGGGTGGATAGTGGAGTTTTCACCAAGATGGCAGCCCCGGGGAGGAGCAGGTTTGAGGGAAGGAAAATGAGTCCTGTTTTGTTTATA